GAACCGTCTCTCTGGCCCTGCTTTTGTTGTTGTTTTGTTTTGTTTTGGTTTGATTTGGTTTGGTTTGGTTTTGGTTTTGGGTTTTTAGTTTCTAAAGCATCACATTATTCTTAGCCACTGTTCAGATTCTGTACTGGTTCCTTTTCATATTTCAGATTCTCTGATTTGTTTGTTTTTTCTAAACAGAGGCCTTAGTAAATGCTAATGCATTTAGTATTGACTGAGATGTGATACTATGCTTATATTTGTTCTGATGTCTGAGGAAAAAATAAAAAAGGTCATCAGAAATAGGATTTTTTTTTAATCTATGTGCTTCAGGACTTCAGAGATGTGCACCTGCAAAGTGCTTCAACACTCCTTCAAATGTGGAGTTTCTTCACCCACCACCACCTCCTTTCAGCTCTAATGTGCTTTTTGTAAATGAGCATGTTCTGATGATCAAGAATCCCTACAGAATTGTACTGCAGGATGAACCATTTATGGCCCTGGTCCTCACCACATTCTTGTTCATTTTATGCCTTTGCACATGCTATTTCCTTTGCCTACAATATCCACACCCTTTCCAGATAACTGCTAATTGTGGTTAACAATTCAGTTTAGCTTACTTAAAGTTAAAATCTAAGCCGTGGATATACATCTAAGAAAATATACTCAAGGATCACAAGAACAGCAGCCTGACATGCTCCCAGCATAAACTAGGAATGTAAGACCTCTTATGCCCAAAGACCATAGGAAGCTGGGGAGTAGCCATTTACATTGTTTCCTACTGAATGTGATCTTGAATAAGCTGTTTAGTATATCTGATTTCCCTTCTTCCTCCTGTAAAATGGAGGCAATGATACCTCTCTTGAAACACTGTAAAAGAATGATGCTCCAAAAAGTAGAATAGAATGTCATAGAAAATAGCACAATGCACAGTACCTGGTCTGAAATATGCATTTTAAAATGAAAGCTGATGAGCTAACTATGATGGTGTACATCTGTAATTCTGGCACTCAGGAGGATGCTCAGTATTCCAAGGTCAGCCTGAGCTACATAGCAAGATTCTGTCTCAAAAATCAAAATAATAATAATTTGAAACAAACAAAATGAGAGTCAACAATAATAATGCTAAGATTTATCATATTTATTAATTGTTTAGGGAAGAGCATTCTGTGAAAAATATAAATGTATAAGCTTTCTTCATGCTCTTGTTTATTTCTATTTCTCCTTTTTAGCTGATTCTAAACTTCCTCTGTATTATACAATCCTTTTGTCCAGAATAATATTACAGAAAGGTAGCAAATAAAACAAATTCTCAGTGCACATTCATCTGTTGAGGTCTAGGCAGCTTATCTAGAGTCTCTCACTTTAGGAATATCAGTTCTTCCTCACTTAGGAGCAATCAGTTGCCACTATTTCTTCAGCTAAGATTGGGATCTACTATCCATTTCTCCAGTTCTACGCTGGGTTTTTGTCTGTTTGAGTTTGCATGGGATTTGTGCATACTGGGGAAAGGGGTATAAAGATGATTAAGATTAATTGAGATATTCTGTGTAAAATATACAAAAATTCACTAAAAACAAGCAAAAAAACAAACTCTCATTCCTTTAGGACATAGAACTGTTGGGAGAAAGAACATTTTAATATAGAAAAATGAATTGCTTATGAGTCAGTGGACAGAATTTGAGGAAGGTAAAATTCTAACCCTTTAGAGTACACAGATGAGAAGCCAGCTACTCACAGGATAGTTTCCACATGCCCTGACACCTTCTATAGTCCACCTCCCACCATCCTCCTCATCACCTTGTCCTCTCTCTTTTTGTTCAACCATTTACCATGCCAGTACAGATCATGCTCTGTGTATTTTCACTTTCCTTTGCTTATGTAACATCTATCTAGATATTTTTCAGTTGTGCTCGAGGATTCAGCTTAGCTCTTTTTCTTCTCTTTCCCTGCTGGCCTCCATTCTATTCCATCATTATTTGACTCGGGGATAAGGTAGAGAAGACCTTTGAGAATGGTGGTCTCTGGAATTACACTGTGTCTGTTCTACCATATGATAGTCTCTCCTCCACTCCATTTCTATATACTCCAAAACCTTAGAGTTAGAATTATTTGAATTGTTTACTTAAAATCTATCCTCTTAGCCCAGGAATTCCTGAGGTGAGAATTTGGGTTGTATTTCTCTTTCGTTGATTCTTAATGTACAACAGTTATTAAAATATTTGACTAGTTGGTATATTCACAGTTATCAAATTCACAAATGAATGAACAAATTTTGAAGGAAGACTTAACTATGACTCTGAAGGGACAGGAAAGGGGCAATAAAAAGGAGATCAAATTTAAAGAAATCTTCAGTTAATCACCTGATTAATTTCCCCTGAAGATGACCTAATTCCACATAAGGCTGTTCCAGAGTTCCCTGACATCTTAGTAATAGGTGACTCACAATTTAGTAGGAAAGTATGCAAGAAATAAGGGCAGAAGGGTAAAGGTAGGCTTATAAGAATGGGATACACAACATAAAATAATGGTGAAGTTTGGTTTCTATTACCATCTTGGGACTCGCTCACAAGCCTTTGGGATTGAAATGAGGCTGACATTTGTGTTCCTAAACTGGGAAGCTCTTTTCTACATTCTCTACTACTAGTTTTGCTCAGTTCCTTTTCTCACCTTCTAAAGTTTCAAAGCTTCCTTATTTGCTTGAAGCCATTCATCATGACATTTTTGCTATCAGCTTTAGAGCACCTTAAAAAGAAGTGTCCTCTGGGAGGCCAAGAATACTGAATCATATATTTACAGAGTTTTTACTATTATCTATAGTCATGTGACTTGAAGCCACCCTAATATTCAGTTAGAGCCATAGCCACAATAAATAATTGCTGGTCTCATATAGGTCATACACTCACAGTTAGCTCTTACCTCAGACAAGAGTATGGATTTTGTATCTGCTGTTGCACATCTTGTCTTTTCATTTAATTATGACTATAAAAGTTAGAAGCATGATTTTCCACACACAGTCCCAGTTAATCTTTCAACACAGTCCACACATTTAAACACCAGCCTTCTTTGAAGAAGACTTTGAAATTGGTATTATTATCACTGCCTTGCAGGGCTACTACACATTCTGCTCTAACCAGGAAAGAAGAAGCAATTTTTTACATGAATGAACTTTGTAACCTGACGTATTAACTGGGATGAGGATTCAAAGTTCTAGAAAGCATTACCAGTTCTAGAAATTTTTGGTGTTTTGAAGGACAACTTTTTCATTGAACACCAGTTTCTTTTGCCACATCTTCACTGAATTTGTGGACCCCAATATCAATTGTCTTTCTCACTACACTCCTGCAATGTTTATAGGTACATGTAACTAAGGAAAACAAGAAAATAAGCTAGGAATAATATTTCTCAAGGGAGCATATAGGAGAATTGAAAACTGAAAAATCTGTACCATTTAGATCAACTCCAAGATCAATGGCAACCAGCTATTTGAAAGGATGTTTAGTTGGTACTTTCCATGCACAAGGGGTGTATTGGTTACTTCTGTGTGGCTGTGACCAAAGCATCTCAGAGAACAGCTCACAAAAAGGAAAGATTTATTTTGGATAATGGTTTCAGTGGCTCCACACTCTTTGGCTGGTTTATCGGTCTGGACTCTCCTGGGGTCCCTGGTCCTTGTGTTCACAGTTAAGAGAGGTTAGACAAGACACACAGAGCCTGGTGTAGAGGTTAGGTAGAATTTATTGCATGCTAGAGTAAAAGCTCTCTCAAGAGATAAGAATGGATAATGGCTGAAGGGACCATTGCATTAATCCATATATTAGAGAGTGTTTATGCCATTTCTAAAGTCTTTAGTAAAAGAAGCTTTACCTGAGAGACTACTCCTATTCAAGTAGTTGACAGGACATTTGGATAGACTCTTGACTCTTGCAGGTACGCCTTTGTTCTTTATTAGAAAGCCTTCAGTAATCATAAGGTTTGTAACCTTCCAGGAAGTGTAGGAAGGTGAGTCTCCTCCCAGAGTGAGAGATATGACTCAGACTCCATTCTTCTGACCAGTTATTAGAGTCCTGCAGTTCCAGTTCTTTACTGGCTCCTGATTATGAGTGTAGGGTTGAGCCCCAATGTCCTCCAAGTCTGCTAATGTCTAATTCAACACCTAACAGTGAGGAAGAATGTCAAGGTAGTGGGAGAATGCAGAAGAGATTTCACTTTATGACAGAAAGAAAGCAGATAGCGAAGAAAAGATCAGAGACCAGGTGCATGTGAAAGGTATGGCCTTGGACCTCCTTCTTCTAGCTAGTCCCTACCTCCTAAATGTTCTACTAGCTCCCAAAATAGGGCCAGCTGAGAGCCAACCTTCCAATAGATGAGCTTGGGAAAGGGCATTTGATATTCAAACCATAACAAGAAATTAGGATATTTTCTGAAGTCTCAGAGAAAGCAGAATTATACATTAAGAGTTTTGCCAAGTCCCAAATCAGGAACAGGCAGAAATTCTTCCTAAATCTGAACCAAGGGAAGCATGGTATTAGAAAGGTGGTACTTTGGGTGGTGTTCAACACATTTTTCAAACATAGAATTAGAGAAAGCAAAGAAATGTTAAGATTTATTCCTTTATCAGAATCAAACAAATAAAAAAGTTGGAAAATGGAAGAGATCTGAGGCCATATGTGAGCTTTTCTTGTCTGAAAGACTTTAGAGTCAGAAAATGATTAGTTGCAAGGTATTTTCTGAAGGATATGCTTTTTAGAAAATTACTAGTGTTCAGTTTACTTCCTATTTGTCTAGTGCTCATACCCAGTGGATTTGTGTTTTGAGTATAGATATACATATACTTCTCCATAGGCAAGGAGAAGTGGGGAGGTTATGCCAGGAGATTCTCAGGACTTATGGATGAATGATCATGTTTATTGTAGTCATTGTGGGTAACTCTTATACCATTGTTATATTTCTTCAAGAATACGAAAATGACTATGTAAACTGAACAAAAATTGTACTTTATTGATTTTTTTCAGAGTTAAGAGGAAGATTTCTGAGACATGGAGCTTCCATCAGTTTTGGAAGAAAATACAATGAATGCAATTTGATAACACCAGACCAACCCTAAGGCCCATGGACAACCTCTAGGTCACTCTTGCAAAAATTTAGATTTCTGAGTAATATGCTGCCATTGAAAGATGACAAGAAACTAGTGCCAAAAGGGTGTATTCCGCAATACCTGGACTAGACGTGCTCTCAACACAATGGCTTCGAAGGTCTCCTGCTTGTACGTTTTGACCGTTGTGTGTTGGGCCAGTGCTCTCTGGTACTTGAGCATAACTCGTCCTACTTCTTCCTATACTGGCTCAAAGCCATTCAGCCACCTAGCAGTTATCAGGAAAAACTCGACCTTTGGTAACATAAGAACTCGACCTATAAACCCACATTCTTTTGAATTTCTTATAAATGAGCCCAACAAATGTGAGAAAAGCATTCCTTTCCTTGTGATTCTTATCAGCACCACCCACAAGGAATTTGACGCCCGACAGGCAATCCGGGAGACGTGGGGGGATGAGAACAACTTTAAAGGGATCAAGATAGTCACGCTTTTCCTCCTGGGCAAGAATGCTGATCCAGTTCTGAATCAGATGGTGGAACAAGAAAGCCAGATTTTCCATGACATCATTGTAGAGGACTTCATCGACTCCTACCACAACCTGACCCTCAAAACGTTGATGGGGATGAGGTGGGTAGCCACTTTCTGCTCAAAAGCCAAGTATGTCATGAAAACAGACAGTGACATTTTTGTAAACATGGACAACCTTATTTATAAACTCCTGAAACCCTCCACCAAACCAAGAAGAAGATATTTTACAGGATATGTCATCAATGGTGGGCCAATCCGGGATGTCCGCAGTAAGTGGTACATGCCCAGGGATTTGTACCCTGACAGCAACTACCCGCCATTCTGTTCAGGGACTGGCTATATCTTTTCAGCTGATGTTGCTGAACTCATTTACAAGACCTCACTCCACACCAGGCTGCTTCATCTTGAAGATGTGTATGTAGGACTGTGTCTCAGAAAGCTAGGCATACATCCTTTTCAGAACAGTGGATTCAATCACTGGAAAATGGCCTATAGTTTGTGTAGGTACCGCCGTGTTATCACTGTGCATCAGATCTCTCCAGAAGAAATGCACAGAATCTGGAATGACATGTCAAGCAAGAAGCATCTCAGATGTTAGGATTTTTACTAATGTAAATAAGTTTCTTTTTTAAGAAATGGGGCCTACGGTATTGGTATTTTACAGGTGTCACCAAGGGGAAATGAACCAGTGAAGGGGTTTTGTAGTTTTTGCTTCCTGTTCCTAATTCCTTTCTTGAATCACCAATTTACAAGTGTTAGGTTCTGGTCAGAGAAATAGTGAGTTAGAAGGGCCAGATTTCATTCTCAGGTCTTGAGACATTGCCCTTCATCTCAAAAAATGACTTCTAAACAACTAGTAGCGTTTATGCACTGTGCATCTGAGATAAAAATCTGGTTCAGGAAATGGAAACTCACGTTAATGTCTTCATGTCATATCTGAAAAAATAAATAAATAACTCTTTAAAAAATAAGTCAGAAATGGTATACAGGAAGATACATTGAATATGATTAGTGATAGTATGTGTTGTTGTTATATTGAATTTTTACATATATTGCCATGTAAGATGTGCAGAATTTGTGTTTCCACCAAGAATTGAATTTACCAGGGAGACTGTGGTAAAAATAGATGTGAATTTAAGCTTGAAAATCAAATATTCTGTATGTTAAGAAAACAACTCTGCTTATACTTCCAAGGATTAAACCTGATCAGTGGGTGGGTAGAATGTATATAAAATGCTACTTCAAGTAAACAAAGCAACTTTTTTTTTTTTTGCTCTTTCAAAACAAACATTACATGGTGCCTCCAAGGAGACTGCCAAATGTAATAATCTCACCTGCTTCCTTCCACGGAATGTCTCTAAGTGCATTTTACAGTTTTGGAATCTGGCGGGCACATGTCTCCGTGTATAGAAAACAAGTTGGTAGGAGACCCAAAAACAATAAATTACAACTGAGAAAATGCAAATTTAGATATACATTATAATAACATACATAAGCCTAGCTGTAGTATGCAATGCCCCTCTCACACATTTGCAAAGCGGGTGAGAAAATCTTTAAGAGGCACCAATATTATTGAAAGATTTGACCCTGCTATCAATGATGTAATACTCTAACATCTGAAATATCCCAGTACCTTTAGCAGCAAAACTGTTCTGAGGTATTCTGAGAGCTCTGTCACGAAGATTCATAGGAAGAAAAAGTGTGGAAGCCCGAATTCAGATCTTACTGATGCCACCAAACTTGCATGGACATAAGAACAGGCCACTTAATTTTGATGTACTTCTGTATGCTCATTGTAAAATGGCTGAAAAATATATCTACCTCACAGGTACTGTGAGAGAAAATCACATTTGCTAATAAGCATTTTGAGATCCTTAGTTTAAAAGGTGCTATGTAATGCCATGTGTCATGCATTAAGCTAAATGCTAAAATGATTACAGTAATTATAATGATGGTGATCAGTTGTAGTAACGTCATCTTAATATAACAATCTACCAAAATAAAGATCAACTGTGAACTATCAGTGTACCTAATTCTTCCAAGCCTTTGATGTTTCATGGCTGTAAGTTAGTTGTGTGAAGAAGCCCCAGCCTCTCTGACATGTCTCCAGTTTCACTGATCGCGCTGTCACTTCCATGCGTTGCCTTGGTATTCCAAGGTGCTGATAGTGAAGTCAGCGGCTTGGCTTCAGGGAGGAGCTTTGCACATGCTTTACAAAATGCATCCACATAACTTAGATCTTAGGAAAAATTTGTCCTGAATTATTAAAAGCCTGGAGGATAGGTAGAGCCAGTCAGCTCCATCAGAAGAAGAATAAACACTCAGCAAATCTACATGTTGCACACCCACCATTCATTAGAAAACTCCCTGCTCTCATTCATAGAAAAGCCCACAACTGAAAGAACATTCCACTTTCTCTATTTTGTTTTATCTATTTTATTTGAACCCGAACTCTGGGTGCCCCCATAGTTGATAGTGATAGACAGAAGGAATAAATGGTATCATGGTTCATTACATGAAAATGCTGGCTCTCTCACCCCTATGTACTCAATACGAGGCAGGATTTCCCATCCTTTAATGTGATGATTTTGATCACTAAACAGTGGCTAAGTGGCCTGGGAAGAGATGACACAGGACAAGGTGAGCCACCCTCCCACCATTCCAGCCTCAACTGCTGTGAACTCCAATCACCGGGAAAGTCTCAATGTCATGCCTCATTCGCCTCCCAGTTGTACAGCTAAACATAGTCTCTGCCTCTTGCTACAGTCTTGCATCTATCTACTCCACGCTCAGTCAAGCCACTTTTGATGTCAATGAAATGTACATTATAATAACCATGCCTGTACATCTATAAACTGCTTTGTATGTGTGTATAGAGTACAAAAAGAGCCCTAATCTTGAAAAGCAGCAAAAATCAGAAAATCACATCTTAAAAATCTATTTCCTAACTTTTTTGTTACACAGTGCCCATATGACAAACATGTAAATAGCCATCAGAGATCACGTGTATATATTTTAAAGGCATTTTTTTTCCTCACCCCCAACTGTATGTACAGCTAGAATCTGCTTGCTACATAACAGTTTCTCTGCATGGAGCTTGGTGAGGCAAGGCCATTTGTCCAGTATTTCAATAGCCTTAAGCATGTTTGATCTTTGTTTTTTGAATGTTCAAAGAATATTTGACTAGTCAAGGAAAAGTTTTAATTTTTGACTTTTGTTAATTCTATGACATAAAACTGGCCAGATTATTGTAGTTGTTTGTTAAGCCATTCTTACCACTTCCTTGACAAAAAAAAATGATTCATAATGATGGTAATATTCTGGGGCAGGGGATATAGTGCCATGGTAAAGCACTTGTCTAGCATGCAGAAGGCTCTGGGTTCAGTCCTTCTCAGCACTGCAATAATAATAATTATCATAAGGTTAAAACAGTGATGACAGTATTCTCCCAGAAATCATTCAAATAATTCTTCCTAAGCACTGTCTCCCCACCTATTTTCTCATTATGTACTGGACAACAATGGATGTCAATGATCAGTGTCTATAACCTCAAAGTTTCTTAATGTATTTCTTAGAGAAACAAAAGCTTTATTTGGTGCCTAGCTCATACGGTTCTGGGTCTTCTCATACTGGAGCAGTTTCATTATACAACGATGTACTTTTAAATAAACAGATTCAAAACATGAAGATCATTTTTGAATTGGATGAAATTTGGAAAAACAAAACCCCTGTGTGAAAAGATATGGGGTAAACAAACTTCACAGAGAAGACAGAGGGAGTTTTTCAAATTCTTCTACCAAAAGACATTGGAAAATTTATGTACAGTGTCTGGAATTCATTTTCTACCTTTCCTAATATGTGGGTTTAGTGGGGGAACTGATTATATCATTTCTTCTGTAAAGGTGAAGATACTTTTATAAACAAAAAGGTACCTTGTGAATGGAAAAATTAATTTACTGGAAATGCTTGTTGATGATAATTGACATTTAGGTATATTGTTATATATTAATGACTGCATTTATTTATTTGTTCAAAACTGTAAATATGATTTCACCAAAAGTAATTGTCTGTAAAAGTGCACTCTCCAGGTTTGTAGTACTATTTAGGGTTACATGGGTTGCCAATCAAGCTGCTAATCAGAATACTATTTTTTGTATCAGTGTTACAAAATGTAACAAATAGATGAAGCTGTCTTTACATTCATTTTCTTCGCCTTCTTGAAATGTAAACTGTTGATTGAAAGCACGATGCTAATGTACAGGCCCATCTGTCAAGGTGACAGTTATGGTTCCATAAACCTGATTTTTTAAAACCACTGGGACAAATAAACAAAAGGAGAACTTATCTCATTTTCCTATTGTCATTGTTGTTTTGAATGACTGTCTGTAGGGAGATGTGATTATGCTATTAATTACTGCCCGCCAGTTGTGTTCATCTTCCCACAGTTCTGGCTCATCCACAAGAGCACAAAGCAAATTAGCAGTCAACCTGCAGACTTTTTGGGTCCAATAAAGAAATCATGGGCTACTCTTGGGTTTAGGAAACAGACTTCTCACTTGCTCCTTGTTGGCCTCAGAGAAGATTTTTAACTAGCCTCTTAAATAGTATGCCTTGAAAATGCCAGCAAATCCTTCCTGTGGTGGGGACATTCTGTTGACAATGTGCTCACCCATCAGAGCTAAATCTAAGGCAAAAACACCATTTTATGATTCACCCACAAATATGCTTTGGAATATTGCATTCAACTTCAAGAGTTTAATTTCTGGAAATTTATTTAGGCATTCAGTAGCGCAGGCAAGTAAATGCTGGTGGCTGGTGTCTTACTCTGTAAGCAAGAGACCGAGTATTTAAGAAACAAAGGATTTTTAAAAATTATTATTCATTTTGAGCTAACTAAACAGGTCTTCTGTTTTAATGGAGATGTAACTTTGGGTTCCCTCTACCCTACCCCCATTATAGCTCCAATTTCAAAAAGGTAAAATTATGAGCTTTAACAGGTAAACAAACAATAAAAACATAAAATATGCAGATTTGCATCCCATGTGACTTTTTAAAAGGACTAACATCCAGAGCAGTATTCTCAATGCCTGATACCTAGATCAGAAAAATTATATCCATTTATAAACTTGTTAAAAATGCAAATTCTTAGGCTGCACCAGAAACTTAAAGGTGTAGTTTAGCAATCTATTTTAACAAGCCCTATACGTAACCTTGACACATGCTGAAGTTGAGGACATAGATCTAGAGCAGAGACAGTCAAACCAGTCTGTAAACTACAGCCATCCTGTTCCCACTAGCTAAAAAGGATTCCACAATGAGCATCTCACAGTGGACACTTACACCAAACCCAAACTAAGCAACATTTTACACCAACAGTGAAAGGTCTGTTCTTCCCAGTAGTAGATGTATATTGAAAAAATCAGTCATTGCTATGTAACATTTTAAATTTTACCAATCCAAAAAGCATGAAACTTTGTCTTCTCTCTTATTTTAAGTATTTTCGTTTACATATAATTTCATGTCTTAATCTGCAAAGTTAAATATTTATTGTCCGGCCCTTTATCAAAAATGCTTGCCAACTCTGACCTAGGGAAATACAGCAACACTGAAAAAGATGTTAGACACAAAATCTCTCTGGTTCTGAATGAGGAACCACATGGACAAGGCTGGGAATGGAGTCAGGGAAACAACGCAGTCACCAAAATGAATTACGTTAAGACCAACAGCTGCATATATTTTTAAATAATTCCTTTCTGAGTGGTTTTTTAAAATTATAAAGCTTGATTTTAATTGTTACAATTACCGACAGTTTAATTAATATATTGCTTAAAGATATGTGGGTATCAGACCTGAGAGGGTGGGTTTCACATAGCTTTATTATCATAATTGCAAACATTCTATTTTCTAATTTACTTGTCATAGATTTCCAGATGAATTCACACCTCTGGAGAGAACTGAACACATTTCTAAAAGAGAGAGAGAGAAAAAGAGCAGAAGCAGGGCTATTTAGAAGAGTGATGTGTCCCAAACTATAATCCATGTGTGCATGAAAAATTGTTCCTGATAATATCTCCTTACCTCTTTGCTGGTTAAAATGGGCTTTTCTTGTAGAATGAAAAAGAAATGAGTGAAAAAGTATAATTGATTCAACATATCTGTAATAACAGTAGCTCGACTATGTCTTCAGCCAGAGTTGCCCAGCACTCAAGAACATTTTTCCATTTAGTTTTCCTTACAGAATCTATTAGTTTGGTACATTGCATCAACCATCTGCTAGGCCTCTTGCAGTGACCTCAGGCCTCACCTGGAGGGAGTATGGCATAACAGTTGATTTATTCTCTCTGAGGTTTACTCCAGAGCAGTTACTCAGCAGTGGCCATTGGATATGGCAGGTAGGGCAGAGTTACTTGTGATGGGGAGGCTGGGCATCACAAAGACTATTTTTCAGGAGAAGCAAAGGATGACTCCAGCAAGCATAAGCTGAGGGGGAGGAAAACACTGGAGATTTTCTGCCAAGGCAAAGTCTTAAATTCTCAGTGCCTTTCCTCTGAGTTGTTTAATCCTAACAACAGCCCCGTGCAGTGGATGTTGCTATCTCCAGGTGACAGATTGGGAAGCAAGCAGCAGAGAATTCTGTAATTTACAGGGTGAATTCAGGCCCTCTGGCTTTAAAACCCATGTTCATTACCTCTCAGAATACAAAATATATTCTACTACCATCACTCCACCCAGAGCTGTGAAATGCGATATACCCATTGCGATTTACTTTTCAGATAGAAACTTCTGCTGTTTTTTTAATTAAATTAAACTGTTAGTGATATAGTTCAATATTCATTTTTTAAATGGATATTTCTATGAGTTCTCACAAATACACCTATTTGGGTAACCATCTCCATAATCAAGACATAGAACATGACTCCCCCAAATTCTCATGCCTCTTGGTGATCAAGTCCCTTTCTAAGATCATGGCAATCCCTGATCTTTTTCCAAACTTCTAATTTACATGTTATTTGGTACTGAGCATATATTATGTTTAGTTGATTCAACTTAGTACCAAAAAGGGAAATGCTGAAGATAATAAAAATATGCTGAAGATATTTAAGCAACATGTAATCACAAGTAAAAGAATTAGGAATTCTAAATAAATAATTGATTCAACACTGACCAAGTCTAGTAAATACAAGAAGGTGCAAGTCAAAAAATCTATAGCCCTACTGAATTAGGAAATCCCAGTTCACTAGGAAGTTTAATAGAACTTCCATCCCTCAGAACTCCCGTGCACATGTCAGTACAGAGAACAGGCAATCTATAAGTTTAATTATACCTTTTCCTTCATGGAAGCAAAGGATCTGCTGGAGAGTCAGCCATCACAAGCTAGGCCATTAAGAAGACAAGCCCTCTGCACTTCGAATCTGCCTCTACACCTGTACTTCTGCCTTTGTCCACACTCAGAATGGATCTTTGTATCAGTTTGTGCTTTCTTTCCATGGGTTTCTGAAATATATGTTAGTTCACATTTCCTTTTGGAAAAAAAAAAAAAAAAACTACTACAAACTTCTTCGATAGAAACATCTATCATAAGACAACCTGTGTCTTAGGCATGTATAAACCACAGGTAGTGTGGGAGTTGGAAAGACCAGGATGAGTGAACATGTTTCTCAAACTGCCATGTGCTTAGTCATTATCTGGGAATATTATTGAAAGGAAACCTGGTAGTTCTGGAGTACACCCTAAGGTTCTGGTTTTCGTTTATGCTCCCAGGCAATGCTGCTGATGATGGTGGATGGACTGCCCATTGATTAACCAGGTATGGTACTGAAGCAAACATGATGTATCTTCTCCCCAAACCTGCTCTTTTTTCCCCAATTTTCCCATCTCAGGATTTGGGCCCTTAAGTCCCAGTTGCTTGCATTGGAACTCTGGAAACTAGCTTTGATATCTGCTTCTGTCTTGTGCAAGGACTTCATCCCTAGGTCCTCCAATTTTATTGGTACACTATGTTTTCACTATATAGTTTCCTAGCTAATCTCCCCTCTCCAAATTTAAACCATCTCCCTTATTTTTCCAGTATACCATAAAAAAATACAAAATCCTTAATAGGACTTTGAGGTCTTATTTAATGAGATCTCTGTTTGGCACTTAACATATGTCCCTGTGTCCTCCCCACATTCCAGTCACACTGACCTCTCAGTGCCCTGCCTCCTCCTCCCTCAGGACCTAGTCTTTGCTCTGCTCATGTAGTCTTAACTTCTCACAGTTCTCCCACTGGTGTCTTTGATAACTTACCCACATCCAGAACTTATTCTAGGTATAATTCTTCAGGGAGACCTACCCAGACACTTCCATATGAATTAAGCCCCATCACTCCTTTGCACAGTACCTTATTATATTCCTATTTCACAATTATCAGTATTTACAAGTGTCAGTTCACTGTCATAGGACTAAGAGTATAGCAGATAAGACAAATTTCAAACTAATAACCATACAAGTAAATAAATACTTAAAACTGAGACTTCAGGATCCTTAAAGCAGATTATTTATTTGTACCTTAAAAAAAAAAAAAAAAAAAAAAGAAACCTTTACATCCATCATTAGGGTAAGAGTCAGCAAATATGTCCCCCATGTGTTTTTGTAAATAATGTTTTCTTCAAACATGGCCACTTTGTGCCTTTGTTTACAAATTGCTTATGGATGTTTTAATGTTGAAAAGTCAGGGCTGAGTTGTTTCAACAAGGACAAGTTATCCGCAGAGTTATTATCATTTTCTCTTTATCCTCAACCTCTGTTTTGGATAATGAAATTAATTTATTAAGTCTAATGGTAATTTTTTAATAAAATTGGGTATTACAAAATGGTTCAAAATTGAATGAAACAGAAGGGGAGAATGGAACAGACAGAGCATCAAAGTTAGTAAGGAATCTATCTTGCAAGAATACAAACACTGCTTTGAAGGAGAGTATCTTACTCTGAGCTGTTCTGGAAACACATCCTCTAACATGGAAGAGAGAGCAGAGGTTCCATCTAGCGGCATCTTCTTAGTTGTGCATTCAGCACTGTTCTTCAGTCTTGGAAAGTTCTCAAGGCTCCACGGCAGAACCACACTCGTCATGACGCTCCTTTTGGGGGCCATTATCCACTCTACAGAATGATCTTCTACTTTCAACTGGAACTTCAGTCATAAATCTGTTTTTTAATAGATTTACCGATTCCAAATATTTCCTATAAATTAAATCATAAAATATATGGCATTTTCTGTTGCTGTGATATAAATAACCTAATGAAAAGAAATTTAGGAGTGACAGGAATTTGTTTCAGCTTCAAATTCCAGGTTACAGTCCATCATTGTGGGGAAGTCAAGACAGGAACTTCAAACAGCTAGTTGCATATGTCCATAGCCAGGAGCAAAAAGAAAAGTTCATTTACATGCTTGTTGTTCTTGGTTCCTTTTCTTTACTCTTACACAGTTTAGGGCCCCCTGTTTAGAAAATGGTGCCCCTCACATGAGCTGGGCCTTCCCACATCAATTAAGGCATCAATATAATCCCCCACAGGAAAGTTAAGGGTACTGACTTCAAATTCACATCTCTACTGCCTAGGTTTCATACTGCTGGAAGGGACTAAGCAAACTATCTGAAGAGAAAATTTAACATGACCCTTATCCAGCTGTGAATCCCTGTGAGCTACAACAACTGGTCTAGAAGATATGCCAACTTATGCAATAGTGGTCAAATATTATAGGAGTAACCAACTACTTTCTAATTGGATTTAAGGTCCAATTCATAGGATGGATCCCATACCTGACATTGATCTTAGGCCTAGGAACCTGAGGCTAAACAGCCCACAGGCCATGGGAGAAAGCCTAATATAACTATCCTGCTAAATATACTATTAAATTGATTTCTAATGACCTATTGTTATACTCAGAGATTAATGCATCTTTCAACTCTCAGCAGAGAATATTCCTTGTACAGCAGATGGTGATTAACAAAGAGAACCACGACAGACCAATGTGCAGAGAATAAGAGGCCACAGACTTCTTATTTCTGAATAGTATGCCAATATCAAACTTCTGACTCCCAAGATTCAGGGCTACAATGTCCCCCCTCTGGTCTCTGTGGGCATTACATTACAGATGTGCACTTAGATACATGCAAGAAAACCACTCATACATCTAAAAAAATTAAAAATAAATAAAATTTTTAAATCTTATTTTACTGACTTTTTATTTACTAATTTTATTTACTATTTACTATTTATTTACTTATTTATTTTATTTTTATTTCTCTAAATAGGCAATGTATATTACTCCCTTATACATTTCATAGTTATATTGAAACTTAGAAATTTAAAATAATACTACATTACAGTTCTAGAAGTGAGATTTCTCTGTCCCTTCCAAACCAAGATGTGTTGCTATTGCTATTTTTTGTAGTGTTTGTTACTATTTATTGACTTTTCTGAACTAACTTTTTGTAAAAACTATATTCTTTGTTGTATGAATCCACTTAAATTTGTAATATGTAAAGTCAGTGGCTCCTAGGGATTGAACGAAGCTTTCTTTAAAGGCCTTAAATCAATATGTCTTCTGCTCTGCGCCAAGGGGCACTGCGTGTATTGAGACACACTTTCAATGCTCTGGCCGACAGTTTACAGCTCTACCTTAGCTTTCACTTGCTGTTCACAAGTTACTTCAACATTTTCCAGAGCTGTGACCAACAATACTTTTACATCTTTCCTGGACATGTGCATAGCTTTATATATGCATATGACATTTTAGAGTCCTAGGAATATGTCAGAGCTTTTCATAACTGCTTGTGGACATCTCTGGGTTTTCCTCTTAAGGTTTTTGGTTAGCCTCTTATTAATTCAAAATGGTGTAACAACTATCTCATGTCACTGTATTGTTAAATAACTGGCAATAATTGCTTTGTGGGTAAGACTTCATACAAAGTGAGATATATGTAAGGCTTAGTAAATACAATTTCTATGAATAAAACTCAATTGGCTTGTTGCTAGACAGGTAAAATTGTGCCTGTTTCCTGATAAAGTGGACCTTTGGAAGCTCCATCCCTAGCATGCCTCCTCCAAGCTGCTTCTTTTCTTAGCTTCAGTAATTAGCTCTAAAGATGCTGGCTTTCACACTATTTCAGAATAAGGGAGAAGGGGAGGGACTGGACTGGGCAAATTAAAACCCCTGAAAGCTACCTATGGAATGACTTCTGGGACACTATCTCAGCTTGTTTAATGTATACAAGCTTACTAGGCCTTGGGATACCCTTGTAACCTAAGCATAAGCTTTAATCCATCATGATCCTTCCTTACCCCTGACCCAGAATAACATGTGTGTGTGTGTGTGTGTGTGTGTGCATTGTAAAAATAATTAAGCACTGCAATCATCAAATATTCATTGGAGGCAATTGATTATCCCATTTGTGTTGATTACCCAATTGATAACATCTGTTTGTGGTAGTATGCCAGTAAGAGTCAGAAGAGGCAGAATCCTCTGAGAAGACAAGTTTCTCTTTTTCCCATGTGATGTTGGTTTCAGCAAAGAGAGAGCAAGGCCTCTGTCTGAGATCACAGTTTTGGGAAAACTCTGAAGAACAAGTTCTCAGAACAGTTTGGGTCCCACTCTTAGTTGAAATGGATTCTAAGAGTCAGGCTGTTTTTGTTCAGGCATTGCCATAATGTGGCAGGGCACCACTGATGACCAATTTTTATTGAGACTTGGCTTTGTTTCTTAAAATTTCCTCACAATTACTGTAAGACTATAGCTAATTTAAACAATTCTAAATATGCTGGGTATATTCATCATTTTCCTCAATGCTGTGACAAAATACCAGACAAAATCAACTTAAAGAAAGCGTTCAGGCAGCCCTGGCTGTGGCTACTCACATTTACCTACAGTCAGGAAGCAGAGAAAGATGAACATTAGTGCTGAGTTCACTTTATCCTTCTTATTCAATCCAGAATCCCACCCCATGGGATTGCGGTGTCCACATTCAGGCTGTGCCATCTCTTCAGTTAAAATCTTCAGAAAATATCCTCATAGATCCACCTAAATATGTGTTTCCATGATGACTCTAAATCTGGTAAAGTTGGCAATGAAAATTAATAATCACATTGGGGCTGGGGATGTGGAGAGTGCTTGCCTAGCACGTACAACATCCTGGGTTCAATCATCAGTCACAATCACAAAAAGATTGTTTATTTTGGCAGTAAGCAGTTTTCACAAGTGGTCTCATTGATTGTAAAGTATAGCAGATTTTCAGAGGGTCTTAATCCACTATTACATAAAATGATTTCTGACCTCATTAATTCATTCACTTTTTCATATAATAACTGATAAATAAATGGTATGAATCAATGAATGAATAATAAATGTTTGTCATCCAACTTGTATTTATAGTTATTCATGTGTCAAAACTTTATCGTGGTGCTGGTTATACTAAGATTAGTAAGGCAGCATCCTTTATCAAGAGGAGTTGAAAGTGTGGGAACAAAACAAATAATTACATAATATTATTGTTTGTATATTGGAGGTACACACAAACTTCAGTGTAAAGAAGAGACAGCAATCATGCTATGGAGGCTTGCTGTTAGAATACTCCAAATAAAGATGAATAAAAGCTTACCAAGAACACAGAAAGACCAACTAAGGAGAATATTTAGCCTGAGCAAAGATAGAAGAGATGAAAATCTTTGGGTCTTCCATTTGGGTGAAATGTAGTAGCTGCTCTGAAACTTTTGAAAGCAGAGTAAGTACACTTACCTAGCAGGGGAGATACCATGATCAAGAAGGTGGTTTTCCCAGGGCGAAGCTTATCCATTGCACTCTGGATGTCCTGACCCCTGAGATTTTCCCAAATGTGAGAGACTCAACTCTATGATTGTGGTAGTGGGGGCTACATTTGTGCTATGTATTAGAAAAGAAAAAAAAGAAAAGAAAAGAAAAGCAGAGTAGGGAATGGTACTGGGGTATTCAAGAGGGTTGCAATGGATATTGAGTTTTACGGAACATTTATTGTAACACAAGCAAAAAAGGCTAAGGCGAGACCACTCAACTGCAAAACTGAGTGAGCAGGTGCAGCAGCATTTGCAGAGTTCCTCCTTGACAGAGTATCTCATACTTAAAGAATGGTCTGAGTGTGCTCAGTCATCTGTGATCCCTAAATTGCCCAAGTCGCCTTGGGACAAGAAGCACACTACACCTGCATTCACCTCAGTCCTAAATCTCGTTCCTATATGTGAGCACATCTTCCCTTCCTTTGTTCCTCTTTAAGGAAGGAATGTGGGGAATCGGCAAGGAGGTAGAAATGGCTCCTCGGTGGTTACATAATCTTCACTCAACAAGCATTCATTATTAAAATGTTTTATTTTCCTTATGTATTTTTATTTTATTATTTTGTCTGCATGTATGCAAGTGCACCCATATTTGCAGTGTTTGAGGAGGCCAGAAGAGGGTACTGGATGCAGTGGAACTGAAGTTATAGAGAGTTGTTAGACCCCATGCAAATGCTGGGAACTGAATCAGGTCCTCTTCAAGAGCAGCCAGTGGTCTCAGTCACTGAACCATCTCTCCAGTTCCAAATATTTATTCATTTTTCTTCTATATTTATTGAAATTTTGTGCATTTCATACAGTAATATTTCTTAATCATATTTAGACCCCCTCCCCTATCTATACCTCCATACCCCCCCAATCACCAGATTTCATGTGTTCTGTTATATATGTTAAGGCCTATTGAATCAAGTTTATGTCCCCAAATTTCCTTCAGCGTGAGACCATCCACTGGAACTTGGTCACTTCCTTAAAAAGGACCAACTCTTCCTCACCAAGCAGTGTTCAACTTCCAATAGTTCCTCACCTATTGGGGTTTCTTACCCATTCCACTTCTACGCTGGGTTTTAGTTTGGTTTGAGTTTGCATGGGTCTTCTGCATGCTGTCACCATTACTCTAAGTTCATATGCACTAGTTCCCAGATGCCTGGAAAACTCTGTTTCCTTGTGACCACCCACCACCCCTGGCTCCTAAAATCTTCCTGGCCCCTTTTCCACAATAGTTCCTGAGTCCTGGGTGGCTGAGGTTTAATATAGGCATTCTATACAATGACATACACTCTGCAATCTCTTATTCTCTACATTTTGGCCAATTATGGCTTTCTATGTTAATCACCATCTGTTGCTTAAGAAAACTTCACTGGTAAGAGTTGAGAGATGCATTAATAGTGTCTCTAGCCCCTGTTCTGCTGTGTGGTAACTTTTAAAAACAACTTACTGGAGCTGTAGAGATGGCTCGGTGGTTAAGAGTATTGACTCTTCTTGCAAAAGACCTGAGTTCAAATCCCAGCACCCACATGACTTCTAACAACCATGTGTAACTCCATTTCCAGGGAATCTGACACCCTCTTCTGTCCTCTGCAGGCATAGCAAGACATGGGTATACTTACATACCTACAGACAATACACACATACACATAAAATTTTAAAAAAGCAAGAAAATAATTAAAAGAAAATAAACAAAAACAACTTATAGAAACTATGTAAAAGGAAAAATATCCATCAACCCCACCATTTAGGGCACTTTTTAAAATGCATTTGTTTTGTTCTGTCTTTTAATATTTTTATTATTTTTATTTTTGTATGTATGAGTCTACTGCCTGTAAGTGTACCTGCGTCATGCAATGCCTATGGAAGTCAGAAGAGGGCATTGGATTCCCCCAGAACAGTAGTTACCAATGATTGTTAACTGCCATGTGGGTGCTGGGAATTGAACAAGAATCCTCAGGAAAAACAACCAGTGCTCCAGCCCCTGTTTTGTTCTGTTTTGTTTTGTTTGAGACATTGTCTCCCTGTAGTTCCAGGTGACCTGAAACTCACTGTGTAGACCAGGCTGGCCTCGAACTCACAGAGAGATCCATCTGCCTCTGCCTCCTGAGTGCTGGAATTAAAGGCATGCATGCACCACTATTCCTGACCCATTATTTTTTCATTTCTAATTGTCACATAGCAATTATATATATTTTTGGACTATAGTGTGACATTTCAAAACATGTATATAATGTGCAATGATCAGGTCAGGGTAATCAGCATATCTGTGCTCTCAGATACATATTATTTCTTTGTACTGGAAGCATTCAAAATCTCTATTAGCTGTTTTGAAATATTCAACTAATTGTTGTTAACCATGGTTGTTCTATTGCTAATGCACTTATTATTTGGTATATTTCCTTAAAATAATTTTTCTATAACTATTTTTATGTATTACTAAGATTTTCCACATTATCTTGAATTCTATTTTATTAAAGGCATAAATGCTTTTTTTTACTGTTTGTACATATTATTTTTAGTGGATATATTATATTTCTGCTAGGGTACATATAATTTAATCAAAATGTCTCCCACTATCAGATATTTCTTAAAATGTGGCTCATCATTCTAAAAAGACAGGGATCCCTGGGTTAGAAAATTTTATATTGAAATTATTTATTATTTTCTTGCTGTCAAAATATAATTGCCACCTGCCATATAACAGCTCAGATTCACTTAGGATTCTTGAATTGGGAAATGCAGCCTGAAGTTGTGCTTGGACGATGCAGCATTCCCCTGGTGCCTCATGAGAAGTCACTCAGCTGTTACTCTCTAAGCTTGCCTGGTGGTACCCACCTAAGGAAAGATTGGCCTTTGTCATTCAGAGGAAACAATTTCTTCCAGCGCCAGAAATCACTGGCATTCCAGCTGCCACATTGATCTCAGCTTCTCCTTTAGAGACCTAGCTGAGTCTTTATTTCTCACAAAAGGGAATCAAATGCCTGCTTTTGGTCAGAAACATTTATGTAGTCTAGTCAGCTCTCTGCCACACTCCTCTATGCTTATTTTATTCTATTCCCAGGAAAACAGTCTGTGAAATTCATTAAGAAAATCTGCTTTGCAGTACCCAGTGTGCCTGCTTTACATGCACAGTCTCCTTCAATTTACTTTAAAATAAGCTCATGCTGGGAAGGGCTGCTTTTCTGAAGTTCAAGAAAAGAAAGAGACAATAGCAGACATTCTCTTGCAGATCCAGAAAAAATACAGGCATCAAAATACACCAATAATTAGTAGTATCTACATCAATTATCAGTCAGCCAAAAAAGATGTAAGTTTCTTTATTGTGTTTCCATTTCTCATTATGTTCTTCACCCTGGGGAATGCAGGAAACCTAAGTTTTACACGAATACAGAAAAATAGGCCAGAAACTGCCTTTTCCTTTGCCTGAATAAGTTGCATCTTCAAAGACTCACTCTCCACATGGAAGTTTGGTGTGACCCTGGGCATATAAACCAAAGAAGAGTTTCTCTGTTGGAAGAAGAATGGATGGGAATAGGCTCAGGGCTGAAAGGGCTTTTGAGATGTTCTTGCCCAGTAATTCTCCAATGCTGTCCATTTTCAGAGTCCACTGACTACAAAAACTTCACTACTGGAGCTTTCAAAATTACAGATGGCCATATCCTGACCCTGGGGATTCTGAAACAATAGACGATGAGTCAAGTTTGGAGACCAATAAAAGAATCCAATTTATTATTACACAATGGAAACCAGATGCCCAGAGAAGATAGTCAACCAGTTACTCACAGAGGCAAGATAAAAATTCCTAGACCTATTACACAGCTTACTTAAAACTGTAACTACATGTTAAAGGCTTTCTAACGTCAGGTGAGAGTTCACTAAGTAAAATACTAGTGAGCTAAGCATTTGTGTTTTGAGAGCAAAGTGGTGCTTTCTTAACCAATAAGGATCCTGGTGATTTAGACGGACTCCTAGAGACCATATCTTCTCTGTTTCCTATACTCTTCCTTCTTCTTTCAGCACAGACTCACATGTAACAGGGAACAGAATGGCAAAAATGTACTCAGCAAATGTTTTTCAGTGAGTCTAAGCATTTTGCTAGGCCCTAAGAATATAGCTAATGAACAGAAAATAAATATTCCCAGCCATATAGAGTCTATACTTTAGTGAGGTTTAAGGATAATTAAAAAGACAATTTATAATTTAGTATGGTGAATGTATGATACATGAATGAGTTATAGGGAGTAACCAAACTCTTAAAGCCTTTATACAATTACAAACAGTTTTGACTAGCAGACTTTTCCTATTGACTTTAAATGGGCAAAGAAAATATAAATGTGAATATATGCATAACTAGCTATAATTTAAAGAATTCAAAATTCCAAACAGTGGCTATGATAGAATGAAAAGCTTAGAAAATCCTCTTTCCCCCAACAATAAGATTGGATAAAATGATCACAAACTACTTTTTCAGGGCTCTGGAAATGGGCTAAAAGCAAACAACAAATTAATGAACATTTATTCATAAAAAAAAGTTGCAGGGGCTGTAGTGAATAACAACAGTGGCAGTCAAAGGCTTTCTTGCCTGAAGTGGCTCACATTCCTCTCTAGTTCAGCTGTGGTGATTTTGCCTGGGTGAGGCTAGCCTTGGAAGGTGAGACTGGTCAACGAAGCAGGTTGACTTGATCTGTAGTAGGAAGTAGAAGCCTGTGTTGCACTCTGCTATTAGTGGTGCTGGGTGTCAGCAACTCGGCTATGGCAAAGTCAGCAGCTCTGCTCTCTGGAAGGTACAGTACCAGCTTGGGGAATAGTGTGGCCTGGACAGCAGCTCACAACCTTAACAAGGAGTTCTTAGAAATGAGAAAACCACAGAGACAACTACATAAACTTTCCACATGTCTCTGGCTAGCTACAAAGATATGTGACTCACATGGAAAATCTACCAGGGCCTAGAAAGAGCAAACATTGAAAGGAACTTCACAACTGCCTGAATTATGTTTTTTCTTTTTGGTCTTTTTGAGACAAGATCTCCCTATAGCCCCACCTGGCCAAAGGCTTGTGCTACCATGCCCAGAATAAAGTATCAGTTTCAGTTTT